TGGCTGATTAGATGAGAGCATACTTTCCCCCCAGGTCACTCAGTGCCTAAATAGATAACTAATAACAAATAAACAATAATGCAAGAGCAAAAACAATGTGTGCTTCTGACTTAACAGGCACAAACACATGCATGTCATGAAGCTTGTGAGATCCTGTCTAGACAGGGCAACACTCAGTGTGTGTAGTCGGTTGCATTGACACAAGCAAACAATGAAGCCAATGTCACAATCACAACACTAAACAAGTAACTAAACAATAATAAACTCAAGTCATAAACAACCAGTTCAGCAGCAATATGGATGCAGAAGCTAAATACTCCCATAGCCTGTCGAGATGCTTATGCAGAATGAGATCAGCTTGAAAACTAGATGTTAGGGTGATTTGCAGAAAAAGGCAACGTTAGGAGGACGAGGACAGAATCCCTATATTACAATTTCAGTCATGAAATAACATTAAGACATACAATGCCAATGAAACTGGATTTAGGTTAGCGGATTTGGTTGTTATTAGCATCCATTGGTAGCTGTAGAAACGCAGCTAATCGTTCTTACATGTGACCGACACGTCGTTCTTTTAAACATTTAGATAGTAATATTATGGAAAGCTTAGCCTAAATGAATGAATGTTATATCTTTGCAAACAATAGGCGTTAAAACAAGTGTCAAGAAGAGCGGGGGGGAATGTTAGCCATGGCTACGTGGACAGACAGTATTAGCTAGCTTCCATCGGTGGAGTTGCATTTAATTATTCGTTTAGAAAAATAAAACGGACACTTAACCGCTGAAAATGTGGTGGTGTTATACTAAACTGGGCACCCAACTTCGCGACAACAACCACAGGCGACGGTACATATGATGACTGCACTTTGTTTACGGACAGCCAACTGAATATGCCACTCAGCTGTTTGGCCTACTATCGCTTAGCCAGCAGTTGAGACCACGGGGATTGAGTGAGCGCCCGACGGACAGCCGGAGCACCTGCTGCGGTGTGCACTTACAGGAAAAGCCCTTATCCTCATTTTGGTGTCCTTCTTGGTGCCGCCTTTGCTGAGATTGGACATAATTGCCTCGTCTGTAGACTCTGTATTCACATGAAAGTGTTCTCCGGGGAGGGACAGGGGTGGATACTGGTTCAAGGAGCAGCTGACGAGCTTTCCCTCGACCCCGCAGCTCCGCGTCCCACACCGCAAGTTTTATGTTGACAGCTGAATGCCAGGCCAGATAACTCTTCATACAGCAATGGCGAAATACCTGCAGTTCTCTCTGCGCGCAGATCACGCTCCCCAGCTAACGCGAGAACTTCAGATAAGAGTTGAAACATTTTAGCTTTTCTTGCATTTTTTTTAATGTCTTGTCACCAGGTTACTATTACTATTAATATTACTATTATTAAGAGGCTACTATATTACATATCTTGCCAAATAAACTTCAGACCTATGTGTACTTAAATTTAAAACAGTGACGACTTTTTCAGTTTTAATTCAATCTAGCATTTTTCCACATAAGGACGATATTGTTTTTGTTTTTTTATGAAAAATTGATGATTTTTCACCAATTATAAGAACAGAACCAAAGCACACAAACCAAGCAGTTGCCTTGTCAAAAGTCGGTCCACAAGGGCCGACATCCTGCATGTTTTAGTTCTCTCCCTGGTTTAACGCACCTGCATCAAATGATGGCTCGTTAGAAGGCCTAAGAACATTGACATGCTGAAAAGGTTGTAACTACCACCGGGGAGAGAACTAAAACATGCAGGATGCCCTCGAGGACCGACTTTGGGCACCACTGCGAGAACTTCACAGACTTCACAACTTTTTTTTTTTTTTACTAAAGTCATACTGAAGGGTCTTGTGTTTTGTTTTTCAGTTTTTTGCTGTGTTCTGTTTTTTGCGCATTTATTTCTATTAGGTTGTTGTCAAAAAGAAACTTCAAACCCCTTGGGTTTGAAGTTTCTTTTTGTCTAGTTCAGCTTCCTTTGTGTTTATTATTCATCTTCCCTCAGCCTTCCTCTTTGCTCTCTTCCACTGCAGATTAACTCAAAATGAGTTCTCCATTCTTTCCTGTGCATATAAACTCACTGGCCTCCATTGTTCTTTGCTGATTCCTCTTGTTACTCTGTCCTCTGTTTTCTGTATTATCATTAAATCCTCCACCATACTCATTCCAAGTTCATGACTGCATTTTGGTTTTTCTCACAACCCAGAAAACATGATTGCCAAACAGAAAATGTGTTTTTAATCTACTTTATGTCAACTTTGCTGCTGCAGTGATTTTAGACCTTTTTGCGTTTTTTGACGTTTTTTTGTGTAATGTTTCTAAATTTATTAATATGCATTTAGAAAGCGTGAAAGTTTTTTTTATTTTTTATAAAAAATACAAAAAATGAAATACGTGAATCGGGCAGAAAATTATGACCCTGAATGGTTGATGATTCCCCATTTAAAACAGATTGCAATGCACTCTGCATTCTGATCTCTTTCTATCACTATCAGACTCAACATTAACGTCTTCAGCAATTTAAGCTACAGATGTTTGTCTGCTCATTCAGACCAAACTGGCCGGCCTTCACTTCCCATGTGTATCAGGGAGCCATGGCCATCCATAGCCCTATTGCCAGTTTATCACTGTTCCTTCCTTGGATCACTTTTGATAGATATTGACCATACAGACTGGAAACACCCAATAAGAGCTGGAGTTATGATCTTGCTCTGGAACAGCAATCCCAAATTTGCCCCCTTGTCATTTTTTTCCCTACTTCTACCATATCAGTTTAAATGACTAAAATTCTCCTTCTGTCCAATGTATCAAATCCATTAACAAGTAAAATGATGAAGAGATAATCAGTGCTCATTATGCTTTTCTAACAAGTATATGCGACTCCTCAACAGTTTCTCAATAAGATTAGGATCTGGGGGATTTCTTTGTTGTGCATTTAGTTATCACGTTTACCTTGTGCTTCATCATGCTGGAAGAATACTGTTCATTACTGTGTTGGTCCTAAATCTTTGGGCAAAGCTGCTCTTGGAAGATGTTTTATTCATGAGACTGATTTTATGCAAAATTGCGAATCCACTTTCTTAGGATGACACAAGTTCCTTCACTGTCTTCTCCTTAATTTCACATTTCACAAACCGTTTGAAGGGGCTTTAATCCAAGAAAATAACTATTTTGGTCTAATTGTGCTACTTACTGCAGAATGTCACTCTGTACTTGATGTTTTTCTTGGAGAGAAGTGGCTCATTTGCTAACCCTCTTTAACACCGGCAGCAGCATTAAAGAGTCTCTATCTTACTGTGCTTGCAGAAACATTCAAGCCTGCCTGCAGCCATTCCTAAACAAGCTCTACTCTGGTGGTAGCACAGTAATTCCTAAATTGTATCGTTTTAGAACTTAATCCTGACATTTAAATCATTTTTCTCAGAGTAACTGAACCTCTCTCTGTAATGTTCTTGATTCAATAAACGGTTTTCTTTTCGTGCACAGTCTTACCATAATTAGCTCACTTACCTGTGATGCTCTTTCAATGCAAAGTGCTGATGGCAATATGTGCGTCCTTGGAGGTAGACCTAAACCTACTTCTTGGAGATTACAAGAGATTGTTCTCACCTCTACTACTTCAATTAAACTTCAGCTTTTACTTTTTTCTGCAATATGAAAATGTACAGTGGATCATCACAATGACTCAACAACAAGTCATAACATGGGTACAAAGCAGATAAAAATACAATTTAAAAAGGCTTTTTAAACCCCAATGAGAGTAAAAAAAATACTTGACACAAACAGACTAAGCAACAAATTAAACATTTTTTAAGTTTAGCAACATAATAGCCTAAGTGATTAAAGTACTTAGCAAATACCAGCCATAAAACACAGCTCCTTTAATGTTGCAGATGTTTACTTCCTGTCTTTTCATTATTCTTTCCATTACGCTATACTTCCTCCCCTGGATAATGACTACCTTCTCTGAGTTACATGTTATATTGTATATATCTGCCTTCTCCTGACTGATACATTTGATCAATGAGATCCATCTGACAATCTGACATCTTAAGTAAATGTGTCCAATTCTTTTAAAAATATTTAGATTTTTGTGTTTTATTACTCTCCACCAGAAACAAAGGGGAGAGTTCAGTTACTTTTTCTATCCTGTGTGTGTTGTACAAGATATGAATTAAGTTAAAAGTAGAAATAGGTCTAAAGTTATTCGTCTTGGTCTTACTTTTATAAAACCAAACCATGGAATTTTTATAGAGGTATGGGACTGTTTCCTATTCTCACATGGACATCAATGTAATAGTGCAACATGATCCAACTGGTTCCACAAAGATGCCTTTGTGATGGCTAGTATCATCAGCATGCAACTTCAGGCACCCATGTAGACCTTTATGGTAGAGTTACGTTGTGAAGCATTTCTGTACAAACACACACCAACCACCAAAGCACCTTTCACTAGATTTATTTCAAGAAAGAAAGACAGAAAAAAAACCCAAAATGTTATACGTTTTCTTTCGTCTTGAAAAGAACCAGATCAACAGTACTCAGAGCCCACCAAACAAATCTTTAAAGATGACCAAATTCACCTCTCAGCTTAAGCACTATTTATACAAGTAGTGTGAATTTTTATCCGTGGTAGAATATTTTTTTTATATCCTAAGTACACATATATCTTTCTCTAATCTTCAGGTTAGATTTTGGGGCTTGGGGGTTGCTCAAAAATGGCTTCGACAAACTTAAAAAAAAAAAAAAAATCAGGTAGCAAACACTATAAATACATTACAGAATTAAAATACAGTACTTCCCATTGTAATGATGACAATCAAAACATTTGTGTTTTTAAACTTTGTTATTTACAGCAAATATATATTGCTAAAAGTGGCAAGAATACACACACACACATATATATATATATATATATATATATATATATATATATATATATATATATATATATATATATGCATATATGTGTGTGTGTGTGTGTGTGTGTGTGTATGTGTGTGTATTCTTGCCACTTTTAGCAAATACATCACAGGTGATCATTACAATGTTATCGCATCACAGGTTTAAGTCCTGCTGTTCCTGCTGTGATGAGAGGAAATACAGTAGATTGGCTTTATGCTTCCTGGACAAGCTGACATGATGAAGCGCGGTCACCAACAGCCTTCTGACAGCAAGCTATTCCTAAAGCCACGTCTGGCTTTCATCTTGCAGCTGGGCCAGGAAGTGGAAAGTGTTTGCTTGGCACATTTAGCCCTGACTCTCTAAGACGAACATTAACAGACAAACACAGACTCATAGAAAACTGTCAAAGGTCTGAACTCTGAAAAGCATTTGTAGCAGGGAAAAAAAAGTCCCATTTCAGTTACTTTTTTTCATGGAAACAATGTGATTTAACATTTATAAAGCCTTTGGCAACTCCTATTTACGTACGCAAGTATCTATGCATTGTCACAGAAACAGAGGCTTCATATTGCACAGAAAAAAGCAAGGACATATGAAGCAAATGATGGGACAAATGAGAAAAATGATAGACCAAGAAGCGACTTTTTAACACACCTTGATGCCTTTTTAAAGTGAGTTTACGAAGCAGAGGAAGGGCAGATTCAACCCCTTCATCCAGCACTGTTCAGGTATATCCAAAGAAACCAAAATGTTTCCTGCAAATACCCTTTGTGGGATTCTTCATATAAAAAGAAAAATCTCATATTTCAATCTGATAATTTCGTTGACATTTACTACACTCTGATTCTTATGCAAAATAAGAAAACCCCCAGTAACTAGAATCCCTTACAAAAAGCATTCATACCTGTCGAACCTTTTCTCATTTAATCATGTAACAAATACAGACCAAATTGGATTTCAATGGGATTTCTAGTGATATAGCAACACAAAGTAGTGCTAAACTATGAAGTGGAAGTGAAATGATACATTTTTTCCCCCACAATTAATCTAAAAAAATGTAAAATGCATTTGCATTTAGCCCTGATATCCCTAAATAAATCCCTGTACAAATGATAACCCCCAAAATTAATCTATTTAGTACATTTAAATTGTGTCCAATTTAAATTCAACATAAATCCAGCTGTTCTGTGAAGGCTTGAGAGGTTTATAAGAGAATATTAATGAATAAGCAGCATCATTACAGCCAAGGAAAACAGCAGAAAAAAGTCTGAGACCAAACTTGAAAGTTGCTTTTCAATCTGACTGAATTTAAGCTATTTTGCAGGTTTGTGGAGGTAGCGGACACATAAAAAGACTTTGCGTTGGTCTATCACATAAAATCCATTAAAATACGCTGAAGTTTGTGGTTGTAACATGACAGTGTGTGAATACTTTTTCAAGGTCTTGTCATCTATTTGTTCATCCACTCATTCATGAGTTCATACATAGCACACCAACACACGACCCTGCACTTTATAAGCTGTCCTATCCTAACTGTGAAGCATATTCTTGTCATTGTAGTTAATGTGAAAGTAAGTATGGCATGTTGTGACATTAAGCCCCATTTCTCTGAAGTTTTAGTTGTTTTTTTTTATGATGCACAAATCTGGAAAACACATCCTATTTGACGTTTTCTATCATGGCTACATCTCTTGTTGATTCTTTTTGTTCCTTATGTTGTTTCCTACGTAACAATGCTTTCATGTACGATGCACAGACAAGCAGGAATAGAAAAGAAGTGAAAAGATGCAACTTTTGAGGTCTTTAAACAAGTGTTTTACAAAATATACATGTTCTCAGTCAACACAGTGTCCATAGGAATATTCAACAAACATACTAAACAGACTTTTTATTCCACTTTTATATATTAAAAGCTCTAATAAAGGCAGCAAAGATACGCAATAAGGCAGATCCATAGGACACACTCAGTGACACACTCTACTTAACACACTCTACTGCACAGTTACACCAACGAATGAGATGGATTGTTTAAAGGGCTTCTCTTTTTTGTCTTCAAATGGTTAATTAAAGGAAAAAAAATATACAAAAATGCAAAAAAGGCAATTAAATAATTTGGATTATGAACAAAACAGTGCTGTAGTAAATATTTGTCCCAGATTTTTTTGTGTTTTTGCATTTTCTTTTTGAAATTAAATGTTTCAGAGCATCAAATAACCTTTAATATCAGACAAAGATAGTCAGAGTAAATACAAAAAGCAGTCTTCAAATTATAATTTCACTTATTAGGGAAAAATCTATCCAAACTAATCTGGTGCTGCGTGAAAACCTAATCTAGCCCCTCCCTTGTTAATTTAAGAATTATCTGAGACTTAACCTATTTTTTATTTTTTTTGGTTCAGTTTCATTAAGTACAACCTCATTATTGTAAAACCTTTAGCATCAGAAAATAACTTGAACAGAATCTGTCTGGCAACATGAAGTAGGCTTACAAAAGCAACATATTATACTCCAACCAAAAGAAATTCAGGAACAGATGGGAAAATGTAATTAACAAGCTTCAATCTGGGAAGGGTCACAAATATATTCGTGAGGGTATGAGACTCCTGTAGGCAGCAATAAAAAAATAGAGCAGTGGTTAAACCTTCCTGGAAGAGATTGGTTTATCATAATTAATGCAGAAGCATGTTGATGGTTCATCCAAGACATAAAAAAAGGAACCCGGAACATTTAAAGCACTGTATCTGCCTCAGTTAAGATCAGTGTTCATAACTGAAATATAAGAAACACAATGGACAAAAATGGCATCTTGTATTTCAGCCTGAGGACCTCAACAATTTTCTGTCATTAAATTCAACTCTGTAACATAAAGTAAGGCTGCAGTCATCAGTTTCTGATCTTTATCTTTAGCTCACTTGACACCAGCAAGTTCACCTTTTACTGACTCAAAAAATAAGAAACAAACTAAAGGTTTTGAAGTGGCCTAATCCAATCCTGCACGCAAAGTTCTTATAGATGCTGTGGCATGACCTTAAACAGGCAAATCATGGCATCTGTTGAAGCCAGTCGTTAGATGCAGGGTGCAAGTAATTTTTTTTTTTTTTTTTTACAAAGGTCAAAGTTAATTTGGATTTAACTATTGATATAAAGAAAATAAATAATGATTTCATACTTTACGCTACCCTTGTCTGATATCAAATTTTGTTTGATGATCTAAACATTTTTAATGCAACAAAAAGCACAAACAATAAATGGGGGCAAATACTTGTGACTAATGTTCACAAAATGCATGTGTTCATATATATATATATATATATATATATATATATATATATATTATTTTATTTTTTTTAATTTATGGCCTCTGTTGTTATTAATGGGTGATTGTCAAAAATGTCCCTTAAACTCCACTAAAACAGAGAAGAGTTTATATGCTGAAATGAAGGAACAAGAACAAAAAGAGGTCATGAATCTCCTAAACATACTCTGACGAGGTGGATATAAAAATCTGCTATGACTGTGTAAAAATAGAATGCTTTAGTTTCCTACGAATGGGGGCAAATGATCACAGATTGGTTTATAACTGGTAAGGTGTTCGTCCGTCATGCATTCATACGCAGCAGGTGGGATCTGTGGCAACCGAAATGAACACACGCCGTAACGGAAAGTAGAGCACTTCACCTCATTGTTGCACGCTGGAGTCTTTGCCACAACTACGGATGCTTCCACCTTGTTTGTGCGAATATGTGTCGATTTGTTTTATTTTTTTTTACAATCTTAAGAAGGATCAGTACTGTACGAATGAACGTGTGACATGTAAAAAGATACTCCTCATCTTTTACGCTCCTCGACTGGTTGACACAAGCGACATCAAGCATCGAATCAGTGACTCAGACGAATCGGTTCAGAGCATCCGTCTGATTTAGTTTCCATCCTGCAAGGCCTACTAAAGCACGCCAGCTGGTTGACATCAGAGACCAGCCTGTCTTTGGCCTCTAGAAAAGTATTCTTCGCCTCTTGTTGGACCACGAGAAAACTTCAAGATTAACGCGCTGTCGGAGGCCCCGCTGTTTGTCACTGGCCCTGACCTCCCTCTGTGTCATCCAGACAGCCATTCAGGCAGTGGTCGTCGCTCCCAAAAGCACCCTGCGACTGAAGCAGCTCGTACTCCTGGTCCAGGAAGTCCAGGCTGTTGTTGCTGGGCAACCCGCGGATGGTGAACTTATGGGAGACTTTGGTCCACTGCTCGCGATTCGCTGCTACCCGCTCGTACAGCTCAGTGGCGCCGGGGAACAGTTCGGACAGTAGCCTGCAAGGAGAGCGGGAGGAGGAAAATTAGCTCCGTTAGAGATGCTGTCTGTTTTGAAGTCATTTTCTGTCAAGACAAAACTTTTTATTTACATCTAAACTGTGATCTTAAATTTGTGCACCAGGTGAAACACTGACCAATGAAAAACCCCCCAAAAACTCACTGTCATAGTTCATCACAGAAAGAGAAATGATTGATAGCCCAAAATCTGATCACCATTCAATCTATTTGTGAGCAAAGTTAGAGGAATTAAACATCTAATGTGTTCCCCCTTATTGTTTAGCACTTATTTCAACCTGTAGGAACACAATTGTTTATCTTATTTCAAACAGAACACAATTAGAGCTTGTTCAACTCATGAGTTTTAGAACAAAACAAAAGAATAATAAAAAAAAGCTACATATGTTATAATGTTGAAAGTTAAGTGTGTCTAAAAATCAATGCAAATGTAACATTTTTACTTGCAAATGTAAAAGTTTTCTGAGCATGCAGAGAAGTTTTTGAAAAAACAAACGTTAGCGTGGTACATAGGACAGTTTTCTGGGTGGAACCTCAAACTTAAAGTTTTGACGTGTCTGCATTGAAGCCTGCTGACTTTGAAGAACAGTTAACTCTTAAATCTTCTCTTTTCATTAAAGAATTTGTTGCACAATTTCACAAAAAGGAAAAGAAAATCCCTTAATTTTGTATTTTGGGGGTAAAAAAACCATATCAGCTCATTTCCAGGAGGCATGTTCTTTAATTTTCCTCAACAGTAATGCAGTAACATTAACATTGTTTACCCCTAACTTAATCTGTTTTTCCTTCCTCGGGTCTCCTGTGTGAACTATGTGACTTGGCTTCTGTATTTTTCACAAGCCAGTCATGAAATGTGAAGAGCACTGAAAACAGCGTTTGGAAAAGAAATATGGATTATAAATAAATAAAAACAAATTAATAAAAAAAAAAAAACAATTTCTGTCAGCAAAATATAAAGTTACGAGCCCCCCTGAAATTGGCCATGAGATGAGTAAAGTGTCCTGAGGGAGTCGGTTTTGTACACACTTGTAGATGGGCATGGCGATATGCTCCATGAAGCTGATCTGTAGTTCTGGGATATACGCTTTCTCTCTGTCCATCATCTCACTTGGTCTGTTCCCCATGGCTTTCTCCTGCACATACGCAACGAGCGCACAGTACACAGATATGAGTAATGAGCTCAATAATCTGGATAAGGACACAAAGTTCAGCCACGTGCTGCAGCAGAAAGCGTTTGGCTGCTGAGACATACCAGATCTCCTTGAGAGAAGAACTCTTTGTAAATCAGCTCCTGCGGACAGACAGAGGCAATACATATATCATTGCACACATGGTTTCATGTTTCCAGAATGGTGAGTGGGTTTAAAAAATGCAAATATGAAAGCATGTTCTTGTACTATAACTTAAAAGTGGTCAAATGCATGTTGAATACATGCTTGACGATATTGTTTTACACCAGGCTGCCGTGCCACAAGCTTGATTTTTTATTTTTATTTTTTTCATTTTGCTAATACAACACCTGCTGTTCCCCTTTATTATAAGTGATGCCTGTACCCACTGCAACTGAAACAAGCCAGATATTGTACAGTAATCTCTCCTGAATAAAAGAGGTGCATGTTTTTTTTTGTTTTTTTTTTTGTTTCGTTTCGGGATCAAGGATTACTCTGCATCTGATTTAGGCGTTAGGTGTTTGGAGATTGAGGTTAGGATTTAGGGCAAGGTTTACAGGGGTTTTGTAAAAGGGGGGCAAGTCAAGATTAAAAACCTAATCCAAAAAATGGAGTGTGATTGCACAGAAGAGCGTATAATGGAGTTTAAAGGTTATTTACATTCGTGGTATGTCTCCAAATATTTGCTGTTCAGCCATTGGTTTGTGAAAAACTTTATAATTGTACTAATAAGAAACAATAAAATGTCTGCAGAAGTTCTGTGTAGTGGGATGTATAGCCACTGACGTAGGCTATGAACCGACCGCAATCTTGCGTGTTGTTTTCCAATCCTTGGTTTGGTCTGACAGATCACAGGAAGTCATCAGCAGGCACAGCAGCAAGGAGTGATGGTTGCGACTCTTTGTATTGTATCCATCTAAAAGACACACAGACACAATTCAGTGATATCACATCAATTCAGTTTGACATCAGAAACACCATATTTTAGAGCCAAAAATCTTTGAAGCTCTAATCATCATCCCTTCAATTGTTTTACGAGGGAGATAATTCACTTTAAAAAGTCACTTTTCTGATTCTTCCTAAAAGCAGAAAGGTACTACGATTTATGAATGATGATTTGTTGTCTGAAACAATGTTGCCTTGGAACACATTTTCTACCGGCTTTATTAGTACAGCGTAGTTTGAACCCTCAGGACTAAAACACAGACTAATTATGTGTGTACTCTCAGCTCCTTCTGTTTTGCTGTTTTGTTTTACTGAACCACTTCATGATTTCCTAATATATTAAGGTGACACAGATATTAAGAGAAATTTAAGCAGTGCTAGAACCAGGGCAGAAATCACTGCATTTCCCTCAATCCTTCAAGACTTGCTTTTTTTTTTTTTTTTTTTTGTCACAAATAGTCATTTACCACTGCTGTGGATTACAAAAAGTCACAGAGGACTTTTCCACCCTTGGTTGGAGTGCTGGTTTGTTAGATATTCAAGTTATTGAAGTAAGACAATATTTCTTCCGATTTCCTCCCCATCTGTTGACAATTCACCACATAAATTTTCACATTATAAACTCAAATTTGAGCTTCTTTTGTTACTTTTTGTGTTTGTGTTCTGCATTATCGGTGGAGTTTGGTGTTGGACACATAAAATCATCGATGTCTGACAACTTGCGAGTTCATTATTTAATGACAAAAAAATACATATTTTAGCCTCTCAAATGCCCTGCGACAGACTGGCGACCTGTCCAGGGTGACCCCGCCTCCCGCCCGGAACGTTAGCTGGAGACAGGCACCAGCAACCCTCCCGACCCCACTAAGGACAAGGGTGTTAGAAAATGGATGGACGGATGGATGGATGGATGGATAGTCTCTCAAACTCGCCAATCCTGTGCAATTTGTTTCATCTGTTTCTGTCTAAAATTCACAGACTCTGCAGTGCAGAGGAATTTCTCACTCATTTAGAGGTTTTGTGTATCCTTGAATCCTTTTAGCAGCTTAAGCTGAATTCACTGCAGAGGCATCCACTCAGGATAACTCATAATTGGTTGCATTCAGGCGTAACTAACCTCTGGCCCAGACGTTATACCCAATTAAGTCACACGAGAGTGTAAGCAACTGTGGACGATTATTAAGAATGCCGAGTCTGAACGCTGCAAGCTTCACCATAAATCTTTAGAATATTAGTTAGTTATTATAAAACCTCAAGCAGAACCTTATTTTTTATCCAGTGCTGCAGTATCTAGCAAAAGTATCTAAACCCTGAAATCTCCCACCACAGATTTCATTGCTGTGCTCCTTGGTCTTCATAATAATGTTCTATAATTAATGTTCTGTCTTCATAGAACAAATGGGTTTGTACTGAGATTAAATTACACACAAACTGACTCTATTTACTGTCTTTTTACTAATTAGGTGACTTTTGAAGTCATTTGTTTGCACTGGATTTTATTTAGGGGTATTAGGACTAAGAGGAGCTGAATATATATTTTTATCATTTCTTTTCTTCCACTTCATATTTTTTTGCACTACTATATGTTGGATTATCAAATAATATTCTGATAAAATACAGTAAACTTTTATCTTTTTCTTTTTGACATGACAGCAAAATTAAACCTTTAAATTGTTGCAAAGCTACTGTCCAATAAGTGTTAGATATTGCTATGTTTAGAACGTTCTGATCAAAGCCATCTTGGATCACAGCAGCGTATGCTTAACTACTGACACATACCATCAGCCATCCTTTGCAAGTCCTTAAAAATTCGAAGGTGATGAGCCAGGTCTGTAGCCAGAATTATTTCTCTCATCAGATCCAGCATCCTCTGATAATCCTAGAAATATAGAAATAACACCAGAAGTTTGTAGAAAAATTAAAAAAAAAAAAAAAAAAAAGTTTAGAGAGCTACTGAAATTGATGTAAATGTTGTATTTCACCTTCCTGGAGAATTTCTCAAAGATGTTGCAGCCTTGTGTGTTGAGAATAGCAATTGCCTGGGCAAAGTGGTGTCTCTGTCGCAGCAAACAGAGTATGAAGAAAGCAGCTGTAATATTGCTGAGTCATGTTTTGCAGGCCAAAGGCAAAACAAATTTTGATGGATCTTATTTTCTTCCTTCAAACAATATATCTTTTTTTTGTTCTGGCCACTAGATGTCGCAGTAGCACATAATATTAGCAGGTCAAAGGCAATTTATTCAAAATAAAGCAAAAAAAGAAAAAAAAATACAGATTTGCATTTCAGATTGTGAAATAAAGAAATTGAGAATTTAAAAAAAGAAATTTCCAAGCTTGAGTCACCTCCATTACAGATCCCTCGGAGCTGTAGAGAGCAGCCAGGACTGATTGCTGAAAGTCAAACAGACAAAAATGAGACAGAGTCCCTTCAGCAGCATCCACAAACAGTGAAAGCGACATCCTCGGGCTAACTGCAGCAGTGTTTTCTTTGAAACGGCTTGTATCAGCTGTGCTTGGAAACTAAAAAGCGCACAGGGATGCTGATAGATTGTTGATTTAAAGTACCCAGATAGCACATGATGTTAAATCAACGTTGAAAAATAGTTAGAATCGTTGATTT